CCCAGCAGCAGAGTTCTGCTGAGTCAGCACCCAGCAGCAGAGTTCTGCTGAGTCAGCACCCAGCAGCAGAGCTCTGGGCATTTTTCTACCCCACGTTTGACCAGAGCTTGGAGACAAGAAGGGGTTTGAAACGTTAAAAACTTTTTTCCACAATGTCAACGGGGTAACGTGTGTGTGTGTGAGTGTGTGTGTGAGAGTGTGTGTGTGTGAGGGACTGCCGGTCTCTGCTGTAGTCCTCCCCTGCAGGACACTGTAAAGCTTGTCTTCCTCAGATGCTGTTTTAAGCTGAACCTGTAGAAAAACAAAGAGTTCTTCAGAGAAACTATCTGAAGCACACGTGTTCGCTGTGGATCTGCAGCACGGCCGTAACAAGTAGCTAACTGATGAACGGGACACCTTCACGTCTGTGTGTGGAGTCGTTGTCTCCTGATGACATCATCGTCTCCTGATGACATCACCTTTCTTCTTTTAACGCCGTGTGAGGAGAGGCGGAGCCAAGCTGCCCGCCTCATCTTCGTCAGCCTCAGCTGGACGCTTGTGTTTATTTTTATTTCTCAGCGTGACGTCTTTGTGTTCTTCTCTGTTCGGTCAGGTTTAGGTGCTCAGTCGGGAGCTTTTATTTTATTTTTTTAAGCACACAGTGAGGGTTCAGTCTGCCACGAAACTGCAGTAACTGTCACAAGTTTTATTGCAAGCAATAAGTGTAGCATTTCCTCTGAGGCTCGTGTCCCGTCCCAACACCACCACACACTCAGCATCACAGCAGCACCGGAACACAGCGTTCTACATCATAATGCTCCGTTTTTATATAGAAAACCAAATGATGATAAATCTTCTGCCACATTTTTACTTTTATGAATCACAAGCATCATTAGTGGTGCAACAAGCAACACAAACGTGTGGAAATGGTGTCCATGCAGGACATGAATGTGCCATTCACCGCTCCATCAGTGCTTAAAGAGATTTTATTTTCTTCTTTGTTTGCCTTCTGCTGCGTTTCCCCTGACACTTCCTGTCTCACCTGCTTTGAGGTCTGCTTGAGAGGGATGGAGAGGTCAAAGGTCAGCCCTCAGCTGATGCAGGTGCTGACAGCGTTTGCTGGTTTTTATTTCAAAAAGTTTTACATGTTGCAGCGAGCCGAGTTCAAACCGAGTTTTTAAAAGAGATATTTCGGTCATTTTGAACCGGAGGTCTTTGGAAAAGTTTTCAACAGTTAATGTCTTACCTGTTGCAGATGAATAGTTTCAGTCAGACAGGAATATTACGCTAACAGCTTGAAACAGCTCAGATCTCCAGAATTTTAATGCAAAAGGTTTAAAACTCGTACAGCTGTCCGTACATGTCCATCCTGACCTGCGGGTCAGTGCAGAGAGCAGCAGCTCCTCCAGCAGGACTTTCATTACATTTCTGTTCAAACAACAGGAGCTGACAGTGAAATAAAGGCTTAAAGAACTGTGTTTACATGAACTTTAAGGTTTTAAAGATGATCTGGGTCTGATCAGATCGTCCTGATGATCCATCTCCATCAGGGTTACAGCCAGCTGCAATAAGGAACAGATTGGTTCCTAAAGGTTCTACAGAACCTCACTTCAACATGGCTGAAGGTTCATTTAAAGTCCTGTAAAAGACAAAAACTAACTGATCCACTGAACTGATCAGATAATATCAAACAAAACGGTTCAGTCCAACATTACTGCCTTTTACACCCCTGAGTAGAAGAATACTTTTAAATTATTTTCAAGGACTGAAACTCCAAAATACAATAAAAAATACTTAAAATAGCTTTTTACACTAAGAACAGTGTAACAGTACATCGATCCACATCGATATATTGATGTATGAAATGAAACTAAAACATTGATTCATATCATCATCGTATGTGAGCCATCATATCGAAATGAGGATTAAATCAAATTTGGTCAAAATGACCTAATTATATTTTCAGATTCCTGCTTTAAAAGTTACATTTTGATGCCTGGATCATCCTGAAATCATCAGTTTATCCAGAGATATGACTTATTTGTCTTGTTGGTTACATTAATTCATTACTGTTTGGTCTGAATCCTAATTTTATGTAAATCTATTGAGTCATTTTTATGTCAATATAAAGAGGAAACCTCTAATAGTATTTGTATAATAATATTTCTTTTTTGGAAAGAAACAAAACTTTTGCTAACTCACAGGGAAAAATAAAATTTTTAAGGCGTCTTTCCTCAAAATCAAGTTTTTGTTGCTGCTGCTCAAAAAATGTTTAAATTTATTTAGGATAATATTTCATACAGTTATATTTCAGACAGTTATATTTCATACAGTTATATTTCAG